CATTTGTTAGAATATTTAAAAAAAAAAAAAAAAAAAAAAGATAGTTAACGACAACTCATTTAGAATAAATTTTATCTCCTACTGTTGTATCGTTATTGTTTTAAGTTTGCATACATTAATTAAAAATAATAATTGACTGTATGTTGTTTTACAATTATTGAATAAATTCTACACATTGAGAATAAATGATGTTTGGAAGTCGAAATAATTATTGAGTGTAGTTTCAAGTATTATACAATAGTTTAATAGACAACATTTAGTTGATTTAAAAATTCTGTATATTAAAGATTAATATGGAAGATATTATAGATATGTTACACACTTCAAATAAGTAAATAATTTATTTAATATTTAAAATATTAGGATTTTCAATATAGTTCAAATAAAAAGTTATTTAATAACTAAAATTTTAGTTGATTTAAAAGTTTTAAATATTAAATTATAATTTCATCCAATGGTTAAGTTAAGAGTATTTTACCTTGTTTTCCAACTACAGTGAATTGTATATTTATTTTTCTTTCTTTTTCTGTATAGTTGTCCATTATTATTTCAAAACTTCGATTTTAAGTTTTTCATAATACTCATGATTTTTAGATGGTTAGAAGGGGCTAAAGTTATAGGTAGTCAAAAATAAGTATATTTTCAAGTAAATAATTATATAAATTGATGTATATAGAATAGTTTAAATATTTTATTGAAAGAAAAGTGCACTACATTGAATGGAGCTTTGCACGTTCCTAAAATATTCTATGCACGTAGAATAAGAAGAAGAAAATTATAAAGTAATTGTTTGATTTGTTATGGTAAACTTAATTGATTTTGATATCCTAAATATTAGGATTTCCTGTGTGGCCGTTTAACTAAGGAGTAAAGTTTTAGTTGACTTCAAAATGCTAAATATTATGAAAATAATTAAATAACTATTTTATCTAGTGTGAACTCAATTTTAAAGGGGTAAAAAAGACGAATGACATTTCGCTAAGGATCTTCGTACTTTTAATATAGTATAGATTATTTTAATATTAACAAATAAATCTGGTCCAAAAATATAATCAATCAATTAGATCATTTAACGCAAGACTTGACTTCTTGTCATATCTTTAAGAGGTAGAAAAAGTGTAATTATATATATACTCAACAAAATGAGTTTTCCTCCTCCAATATGGACAATGTTCCTTTGTAAAGGGGGGAATTTCAAAAAATTTATATTTTTCTCCATTTCCCGTTCACCCTATTTTTGAACTAAAACCCAACATAACCTTTATGGTTGAACGGTAACCATCAAATTCTACGATTGAGTTAAGCCTAAGTCTATTTTCTTAATATGGTATCAAAGGCAAACTTATCCATATTTTTTGTTTGCAATGTTAAGCTCATTCTTAATATGGTATTAGAGTCAAACTCATCCACATTTTTTGTTTGCAATGTTAAGGCGATGATATGATGTTTATGCTCTAGATATTTAGCTATAGGAGTACAGAGCATGTTAAGCGTCCTACAGTGGTTGAAGGAATGACTTTTTTTAATGTGTTCTTAGATATTATGATAAGTTAGACTTTAGGTCTATATTCTTAACAAAAAGTTCTTTCTCTGAGCTAGGAGGGTATTCAATTTAGACTTAATATTGGTGGTCGTCGCAAATTCTGTGGTTGCATGAGATAAACAAAGAAGAGACGAACAAGAAAGAAGACTACCAAAAAGTAATATCACAACGATAAAATCTTTATTGGACTGGAATCGCATACTTGATTCTTTCCGGCGAATATCTTCGCTAAGAATCAAGTCTTTGATATCATCCATTTTGAGTTTGGTACTTCCCAATGAAGTGCTAATTATAGTTATTATTGCAGACCAACTCTCTGATAGAGATGATAGTAGAATCAACGCTCTGACTTCGTCATCAAATGTTATATTAACAAAACTCAACTGAGTTAATATTACATTAAACTCATTCATATGTTCCGTAAAATATCCACCTTTGTCATCTTCAAGTTGAATAATCAACGCATCAAATAGACTTTATTTGAAGCAGATGGTTTCTCGTACATATTTGATAATATCTTCATCAGGCCTACAGTGGTCTTCTCATTAATGATGTTGAATGCTACATTTCGTGTCAGTGTCAAACGAATCACACTAAGAGCTTGGCGATGTAATAGCTCCCAATCAACTTTGGCCATATTCTCTAGTTTTACCCCGGTCAAAGATAAGTGTAATTTTTTCTGGTACAAATTATCATCTATTTATATTTTTCAGAATCCAAAATCTTTGCTATTGAACTTGTCAATCTTAACCTTCCCTTCTTCTGATGCCATTTTTCACAAACAATTATGTGAATAGTGCCTGTAAATAGTAACCGTAAATACTACTCTGTGTAAGAAAAATATTCCAACCGTATAAGGTAGACAACAATCACTATTGGTGAACAGTACTATCATTATGTGAAGTGGGTCTCGCATAGAATCAACCGTCCCTAATTTCCTTTTTTTGTGTACTTATTTGATGGCCTACAAATGTATTGGTTGGAGCATGTTCCTCCTCTGTTGGAGCAGAGAGTTTGGGATGCCAACTCTTATGTACTCTGTACTCTTATGATTTCTCAATAATAGCAGCTACTGTTTGAAGCCAAAATAAATAAATAAATAGTACTTCACTATTGTGAATAGTGTTAGTATTGGTAATCAATAGTGTCGCATTATTCCTGTGAATAGTACTTGCACCAATACCATACTTTTCTACCATAATTACATTATTTGTGATTTGATACTTGTTAGGAAGCGTATCAGGCTAATGGAAGGGGAAAATATATTTAAAGAGAAAAGCAATAAATTGCACGAAGACAAGATTTACGTAATTCGGTAATTTTTGTCCACTTCATGGACATACAGAGAATAGCTTTATTGATTGAAGAGAAAGAAGAAGTTGAGGGATGATTTACAAATGAAGAATGGGATGCCTATTTATAGGCAGAATGTCTGTTGAAAAAAGTTTCAGCGAATGTGAATATGAGGCAGGACAGCACCGCTAACTACGCGTCAAATTCTCTCTTTCATATTGTGACAGCCTACTTTTCCTGACTCTTATTTCTTTTTGTCTCTTTTTATCTTTCCTTTCTTTCTTTTTCTTTGACTTTTCACTTACCCACACGGGTTTGTCCCATCAGGTTGGACGGTAACATATTTTCTTATACGATTAAGTTAAGCACTTAAGTCTAAGTCTATTTTCTTAATATGATATCATAGCCAAACTTATCCATATTTTTTGTTTACAATGTTAAACTCATTCTTAACATGGTATCAGAGCAAAACTCATCCATATTTTTTATTTACAATGTTAAGCCCATGTTATGATGTTTATGCTCTAAATATTCAGCTATGGGAATACAGAGCATGTTACGCATCCTACAGTGGTTGAGGAATGAGTTTTTTTATTTTTAACACAGCGTCTATATTCTTAACAAACAAAAAAAAATTCTCTGAGCTGGAAGGGAATTCAGTATACCTAGTATTGGCGGTTGTCACAAGTTGTGTGGTTGCATGAGATAAACAAAGAGAAGACGGACAAGAAAAAAGACCACCAAAAAATAATAACACAATGAAAAAATCTTTATTGGAGTGGAATCAGCGTCATGCTTTACGAACGGTAATGCTAAATCTCAAATTTTGTCTAGCTCTAAAATTCTCTGTTTTGAGACTAGATAGTAGTAATGCTTGGCTGATATTCAAGAATAAAGCAGAACTGGTATTCTCTTGTTTGAAAGCATAGTCAATCCCATTTTATTCTAATCCTTATGCTTTTTCTTAGCCCAAGACGAGATTAGACTTAATTTCACAATGATATACCTGTCCTGCTCTAAATTAATGATACTAAACTACTCATGGCAGGATAAAGAAATCGAACCTCAAGAATATAGCTAAAATTGCAGAGGCGCTCAACATTTCTCGAAGATAAATTACTCCCGATCAACCAATATACTGGCAGAACTTAGGTTACAGAGACATTTAGTGAAAAGTTTAACACGAAATAGATGGTTGAAACCAAATGTTACAATCCTAAACCAAATAAATAAACACTTCCAAGATTACTTCAAATAATAGTATCTATATAAACAAATTCAAAGCATCAGCATTCCTCCACAGGCATTGCTCAATGCTATTCTACACTTTTCTTGATGGAAAGTAGAGGACAGATGCATTCTTTCTTTTTACATAAACTCAAGTGCCATAGGTAATGTTTTAACCCATGGCATACTTCTGAGTCCAACTCCGGGCAGTTGTTTCGTATTTTGCCCTGTCAACCTTGTACATATGAGCAATCTCAGGCACCAAGGGGTCGTCAGGGTTTGGATCCGTCAAAAGTGAGCAGATTGAAAGCAAAACCTGAAAGGTAATACAGAAGCATTTCCCACCTTAAGAAACATATACACATACATGGACATACTTTGTGAATGTCAAACATGGTAAAAAAACCCTTTGTGAGAAAATGCATAATTCCGTGGAAACAACTAATGGTACCATATCAAGGAACCTATTCTTCCAGCTGAAAAGCCTTATTATATAGTATCGAACTGTTTCCACCATTACTCGCAGAAGATAAAAAGGAAATTGGGCAACAGCCAAAGGAATAACTCACCTCTTATTTGTAACTCCAGTTAAATGTTTCCTCTATTAATTAGTCACTAATTTTACTTCCTATCCTTCAGATATGTATGATTAGCTGAAGGCATAAGTTGATTAAAAGGACTCATGATACCATGAGAGTCCAAGACTTACCTATGTTTGTGTATTAAGTAGCTCCTATTAGAATAAATTAAAAAAAATTAAGAAATAAAAAAATTAGCTCCCATTATTCAAAAACAAAAGTAAAAAAAAACTAGGTTGAAAGATAAGAAGGAACCTTAGAAATAGTCAAGGCAGGGCTCCATTGCTCCTTCAATATGTCCAAGCATATACTTCCATTGCTATTAATATTTGGATGGAAAACTTTTGTCCTAAAAGCAACCTGCAAATATTTAATTTAACCATTATATGTAAACAATTCGTCTACTAGGAAAATAGTCACATACAGTTTACAAGCTGATAAACACGTCAATAGTGCACACTCTCTTTTCTTTTATGACTTACAATAACGCATTCCTTGTCAAAAAAGATGTACCGAATATAAATGGTCAAGACCCC